CTCTGAATGTTCATGTACAAGGTTTTGGTGAATGTAGCCTTTCAGTTATTTTGGGTATGTATCTAGGAGTGGAATTGCTGGTTCACATATGTTTAGCCATTTGAGGATTTTGCAGACTGTTTTTCAAAGTGGCTTCTCCACTTTTCATTTCTACCAACAATGTATAAGAATTCCAATTTGTCCACATTTTTGCCAATACTCAATATTTTCTAATTTTTAAATTATGGTCATCCTACTGGGTATTAACTGGTTTCTCATTATGGCTTTGACTGGCGTTTCTCTGATGACTAATGATGTTGTGATTATAGTCCAGCTTCACTATTTTTTAAAGAATTTAACCTTTATTTATCTTTATGTGGTGCTAAGGATTGATCTCAGTGCTTCTGGGTTCAGTCACTCTACCACTGAGCTACAACCCCATCCCCCAGCTTCACTTTTTAGCTATGTGACTTTGGTCAAGTTCTTTATCCTTTGAGTCTCATCTATCTGTAAAATGGAGATATAGTGGTCTCCACCCCCTTATCCATGGTTTTACTTTGCATGGTTTCAGGTACCTGTGGTCAGCTGTGTCCCAAAAATATTAAATAGAAAACTCCATAAATGAACGATTCATAAGTCTTAAATTGCACACAATTCTTTTTTAAATTTTTTTTTAGTTGTAGATGGATGCAAAACATTTATTTATTTATTTTTGTTTTAGTTGTAGTTGGACACACAGTACCTTTATTTTATTTTTCTGTGGTGCTGAGGATCAAACCCAGTGCCCTGCATGCGCTAGGTGAGCACTCTACTGCTGAGCCACAACCCCAGCCCCAAAACCTTTATTTTTTTTATGCTGTGTTGAAGATCAAACTCAGTGCTTCACACATGCTAGGCAAACACTCTACCACTGAGCTAAACCCCCAGCCCAATTGCACACAATTCTGAGTAGTGTAATGAAACTTTGTGCCATTCTTCCAGTGTATCTATGCTATATAATTACATGTTGATTAGTCATTTAGTAATCATCTTGATGATAAGATTGACTATTAGAGTATCTCAGAGCTTGTGTGCAAGTAACCCTTACTTTACTTACTAATGACCCCAAAGCACAAAAGTAGTGGTGCTGGCAATTCACGTATGACAAAGAGAAGCAGTAAAGTACTTCCCTTGATGAAGAAAGAAAAAAAATCATTCTGAAGTTGCTAAGATCTATAGTAAAAATGAACCTTTTATCCATGGAATTGTAAAGAAGGAAAAAGAAATTGAAGCTAGTTTGGCTGTTATACCTTAACCTGCAGGAGTTATAGTCAAAATATTTAAACGTTAAGTTGGAAAAGGCATTAAATTTGTGTGCATGTCTAAGATAAAAACATGGTATATAAAGGGCTTAGTACCATCAACCATTTCAGGCATCTACTCAGGGGTCTTGGAATATATCCTGGTGGCTGAGGGAAGACCACTTCAATATTGCCTCACAATATTATTGTGAGGTTAGTGGAAATTAGGTGGGTTTAGATCAGTGCCTGCTACATTGTAGATACCTAACTGATAACTAATATTGGTACTTGAGATGAGGTAGCCAGCAATTCAGTCAGATTTTTCCCAGTGACTTCAGGACATCTACTGTAGAAGTCAAATGCTTAAATAAATGATGGTGCCTCACATTTGCTAGGGCTGCTTTCTGTTTTACAACCTTGGTAGGCCTTTGTTTACTATTATTTACCAGTTAGCACTGTCATTAGGACCATGGAGGGATATACACAAGAGTAAGATAGAATTTATGAGATTAAAACTTGGAGATGATGGTACTGTCAAATTAATTCTGTGACAGTGACATCTGTCTCAGTGCAGTAAAATGAAGGTGAGAAACATTATCCAAGCATAAGAGAATATCTTGGGTATTTTTATCCAGGAATAATATGGGCCTATGGAAAGTATTCAGCACACTGGGCAAGAAAGGCAGTAAGGCATTCTAGGTAAGTAAACCCAAGTGAGCAAAGATGGAAGTAGGAGTAATTTAGAAAACAGGTGGTTATGAAATTAACCTGGTAGGAGTGGGATATTGGGGAATTGCAAGACAGTTTTGTGATATTCTTATTCTGTTGTCTTTTATTATTCTATCCCAGAATGTGTAGTGAAAGAGGTTCTATACCTAGAACCTTGAGATTTTCTTAAAATTTTGCTGCAGATTAGCTCTAGACATTCTGTTTATTCTTTTTTAAAATATTTTGTTAGTGGTCAATGGATCTTTATTTACATGCAGTGATGAGAATCAAACCCTGTGCCTCACACATGCTAGGCAAATACTCTACCACTGAGCCATGATCCTCGCCCCTCTTATTCTAAGTAATAAATGAATAATTGGCTTTGTTTAGTGATTCTTAATTGAGGGTGTGCATCAGAACCTTTTGGAAACCATTTTGAAATGTGTGTTTGGATCACATTCAGGAAATTGTTTCAGCAGATCTGAGGTCAGGTCCAGGTTAGTATATTTGGAAAAGCTCTTCTGGTTATTGTGATTTACATTCCTTGTATCTTAGGAACCACCAGATTAGTTTAAAATCATTAATCCTTAGCTTTCTGGAGTTGAAATCACTTGGGTAGAACTGGGTGCAGTGGCATATGCCTGAAATTCCAGTGACTCAGGAGGCTAAGGCAGGTGGATCTCAAGTTCAAGGCCAGTCTTAGCAAAGCCCTGTCTCAAAAAAGTAAGAAGGGCTGTGGAAGTAGCTCAGTGGTAAAATATCCCTAAGTTCAATCACCAGTAGAAAAAAGAAGAAATTACTTGGATTGTAGAATAATCAGCGTCAGACCAGTGAAAGATTAGATGTTGTAGTGAACAGAACATGGATTTTTTTAAAAAATATTTTTAGTTGTCAGTGAACCTTTATTTTAAATATTTATATGTGGTTCTAAGAATTGAACCCAGTGCCTTACATGTACTAGGCAAGTACTCTACTACTGAGCTACAACCCCAGCCCCAGAACATGGATTTTAATGTTAATCTGACACAAATCACTGCTTCCTAGCTCTGAGCATGGCACCTAACCTCTCTCAGCCTCAGTTTCCTCATCTGTAAAATATGGTTTATGATGCTTATGTGATCCTGTTAGGATGAAAGAACATATCACACTACACTTTGCCTGATGTTTATGTGACTGATAAACTTCAAGAAACTATCACCAGGGGACAACATAAAACTACTTGTATCCTAACACATCTTGGAGTTAATCATAAATCTAGGTATACCCAAATACCTAGGTGGTTCCTTTGTCTAAATATAAAATAACATAGACCTTGCTTCACTTATCTGCTTATCAGTGTACCTCCCTTTATGTGACCTAATATGTAGCATTATTGTCAACACTGACTAAACTCTTTTTCCATAGCAAAAATTTAAAGCATTGAAACTTCTGTTGGACTCCAGAAAATTATAAACCCTTTACAACTTAAATGAAAAACAGGTAAATTGAGTTTAACAACATTATCAAGGTCCATAGGGTCTTGAGCTGACATCTAGGATTTTCTCATTATAATTGTGTTACCTTGGAGATAATAAGTTAAAATAGGGGTGGGGGCTAATAGTAGTTATACTAATAGTAATTATGGCCTCATAAGGTTATTGTGAATATTTAACAAGTTAATGCATGTTAAGTATTTGTAACATTGCTTCATACATATTCAGTATCTGTTAGTCATTAGCATTAGTGTTATCATGCACTAGGGCTTATGTGGGAGCCAGAAATATAAAGTCTCTGTAGAAGCCAATATATAGGTAACATTAATATGCTTCAAGTGTAGCAGTAGAGGTGCATACAGGAGGGGTATGTAACAGTCTGTCACTTTTCCATGAAAAATAGTTCTCTCAAGCTAGGCACGGTGGTGGCACATGCCTGTAATCCCAGGAACTTGGGAGGCTGAGGCAGGAGGATCATGAATTCAAAGCCAGCCTCAGCAAAAATGAGGCACTAAGCAACTCAGTGACACCCTGTCTCTAAATAAAATACAAAATAGGGCTGGGGATGTGGCTCAGTGGTCAAGTGACCCTGGTACTAAAAAAAAAAAATAGTTCTCTCAGCTGGTGGTGGTGGTGCACACCTGTAATCCCAGCAACTGGGGAGGTTGAAGCAGAAAGATCAAATGATTGAGACTAACTTCAGCAATTTAGCAAGGCCTGAAGCAACTTAGTAAGTCTAAACTGTCTAAAATTAAAAAAAAAAAAAGACTGGGAGCTTAGCTGGTGGTTAAGCACCCCTGGGTTCAACCTCTAGTACCAAACCAAACAAAAAATGCTCTCCACAAAGGTGCTGGTACAGTGGAAAATGTATGTGTACTGGAGTCAGATCAGTCTGTGTTTTAATTCTGTTTACCACTCATTATGCCACTCTGGGGACAGCCAACCTCTTAACAGCCTTTGTTTCCCCATTTCTAAAATGGGGTGAAGTTTCTGACGTCTTTGTGTTGGAAGTGCCTTAGGTGTGTGCTTTTGCAGTATAAACTGCTTCTAAGATAAAAAAGCATGAATTTTAAAAAAGAAATGAATGTCAGTTTCTGTTTCTACATTCATTCTGAGGTTTTCATCCAAACGTACCTTGTCATGGCTGATCTGATGATAATGTAGGTAGAATATGCATAGTACATAGTAGATTGTGAGCAATAATTAATGGTTTTATAATTTTTCTAACAAAGATCTTCTCTGTCATTGTTTGAAAGTTATGCAATATATACCATGTTAATTTTAGCCTTCTGATTTTGAAGAGTCTTAGGCCAACTTTCATAAAAGAAGTAAAAACATACTGGGAATTTTGAGTGAACACATGTACAATTCTGTCTTTGTTTATAGAAATAATCAAGTTTTAGGCTGAGAGAACACTCTGGTTTTGTTTTTGCTCTTTTTAAATATATTCTGCGCAACCACATGTAATCTTAAATTTCATCAAATTATAAAATTTTCCTGACTTATAACAGTGCAGACCAGTTTTTGTAGCATATGAAATGTTTTTTTTTCTCTCTCCTAGGTCTTTCAGAGCCTTGAAGATCACCATTTGGAAGTGGTGGCTTTTTTCAGGGAAAATGGCTTTCATGGCCTTCTTGCCCATGACTCCGAGTATGCACTCTACAATATTCCCTCTTACTACAGTTCCCATGCTCTGAAACTGAGCTGGAATGGGAAGAACCTTACTACTAATCAGTTTCTGATGCAGGAGGTGGCCAAGCAGCTGGGCCTCAAGCGGATGAATTTTCCCATATTTGCTGCACTGCTAGGTATGTAGTCCAAAAGAAAAAGTCCAAGTAAATTTTCCTCTTCCATTATTAAGGATTAAAAACTTGAGTGATTTAGCCTATCATCATTGGGTTCATCTTTTTAAAAATTCTCATGCCAAACACCATGATGCAGAAAACACAGTGGATGCTTGGACTTCTTTGTGGGACACCCTAAAACTCAGAATGTTTGATTCATGGATTGTTATAGGATATTCCAAAACATTATTTGTATTCTTGTAAAACTTATTATTTTTTACATTTTATAACATTTATGCAGAGTACTGTCTTAGGCTAAATATTTCATTTGTCCTAGTTATTTTGGTTCCTCACTCAGATAATTAGCATTTCTTTCCCAGTGTCTAAATTTGGATCAGGAACACAAATTGTTGATTATATTTTTCTTTTTCTCTTCATTTCTTTTGTACTAATATTTTATTATGAAAATTTCCATAATACAGCAAAACTGAAAGAATTTTGCAATGGAAACACTATATCCACCACCTATATACCATTAACATTTTACAATACTTGCTTTATCATATATTTTATCCATTCCTCTAACCCTCTATTATACTGTCTTTTAAGGATGTATTTAAAGTAAATTCTGGAGAGTGGATTATGTTTTGAATTGGTTTTCCAACTAATTACAACATGAAGGTTAATATATTTATGTTAGATGTGATCACTGCTCTGTAATTCCAAAGGATATGAGTTTGAGTAACCTAAGAGTATCAGCACAAGTTTTGGAATTGGGCCTCGTGCAAATCACTGAAGTCACACTTTGCCCATTTCAATTTTCTCATCTGTGAAATGGGAACAATAATACCTCATAGTTTTATTGACGAGGTTAAATGAAACGAGATATAAAATGCTCGGCACTTATTGGAAAGTAATTAATTTGTTGCTGCTATTATAAAAGCCAGCATAACTACATGATAGGTAATAGCATGAGCTTGGAATTATATAGACTTAGCTTTTCATCCTGGTATGTACATACCTATAGGGCCAAGTCACCAAAATTGTCTGAACCTCAGTTTCCTTATCTGTAAATGGAAATAATACTATCATGCATTGATATTATAAAAATGATACATATAATACACATGATATGTAGTAGGTAATCAACACATCACTACTGTAATTATTATATTAAGAATATCGATCTATGTTAATTATTTGGTCATTTTCTCTCCCAGGATCTTTTTCATGGCCTGGGGGTTCCAGGAAACATTGGTATAGTCAATAAATGACAAATGTACTTTATAGGTAACCACATTCTCCCAGATGAGGACTTGGCTGCTTTTCACTGGAGCCTCTTGGGACCAGAACATCCTCTTGCATCCCTTAAGGTAATGTGTCCCATTTCCTGCATGTACACATTAGAGGGTAATCAAGTTTTAGAATTTGATGGAATAATTATCTTTCATTAGATTCAAAACACTTCAGATACAGATAAAATTAGTTGTAATAATATCCTTATAAGAATCCATACATATCTATAAAGAAAAATACTATTATCCTACTAGTAAAATAATGAACAAAGAACTGATACAGACAATTCACCAAAGAGGAAATATAGTGGCCAATAATACTATGACTAGATGTTCAACATCTCTAGTGACCAGGCATGTGAATTAAATGAGCAGTATGATATTTTTTGTTAACAGTCAAGCAAATATTGAAAAATTAGTCTACTGCTATCAAGGCTGTGCTGAGACTGATGCCCACCTTCACTTCTGGTGGTAGTGTAAGATGGTGATTGTATTGTATTTCTCTCATTCTCTCATTTTCCTAGATGACTGTTTCATATTATCTCTTTCTTCCAGCCTAAATACTTCTTTATTTGCTCATTCTCAGTACATAATCCCCCTTCCTTTTCACTGAGAAAATGGAAGCAACGGGAAGAGAACTTTCATAAGCTCCCAAACCCTCCTTACCTCACCAGCATATATCTGTGTGCCCATGTGCTCCTGTTAACTGTGGATGACCTGTCCATTCTCCTATCAAAAGCCAACCCCTCCACTCACATTAGATTCTATCCCCTCTTGCCAATTTAAGGGCATTTGTATAGCAATTCTTCTCCTTCTTCACATCATCTATTTTTCTCTCTTGTTTTTTTTTTTTCCCCACCAAATGTATAAACATACATCCATCTTAAAAGATAAAACAAGTCGGGCATGGTGGTGCATGCCAGCGGCTTAGGAGGCTGAGGCAAGAGGATCATAAGTTCAAAGACAGACTTAGAAATTTAGTGAGGGAGACCCTAAGCAACTTAGTGAGACCTTGCAAAATAAAAAAACGGCTGGGGTATATATAGTGGTAAAGCACCTCTGAGTTCGATCCCTGGTACCAAAAAATAAAAGTAAAAATCCAGTGACCCCCCAAAAATAAAAATAAAAACCCACTAACACCCAACTGCTACATATTTCTTCTCATATCAAAGTCTTCTAAAGAGTTGTCTATTATTAAGCTGCTTACTATCCTCCTCTCCTGTTCTCTCTTCAATCTGATTTGCTGAATTTGCCCTTGACCTTGTCAGTAACCTCCAAGTTGATAGACCCAGTGACCAGTTATCTGTTTTCATGTTCCTTGACCAATTGGCAGCATTTGACATGGTTGCTCATTCTTCATTTGTCTTTAAGGAAACCACTCTCTTCAGATTTCCTCCTGTCTCACTGATTGCTGCATCTTGGTGTCCTCTGTTATTCTCTTATCTTAAAAATGTGAAGTGTCCCAGAGTTCTATCCTGGTTTTCTTCTCTTCTATGTATACACATGATTTCATCCAGTCTCATGACTTTATGACCTTCTGCCCATTGATGGCTCTCAAGATTATGCCTCCAGCTCTAACCTCTTTCTCAAATTCCAAATTCTAATATCTATCTACTAAACATCTTCATTTACATGTATAAATGGGCATCTTTTTTTTCCCAGTTTTTTAGGGATTGAATCAAGGGGTGCTCTACTACTGAGCTACACTCCTGGCCTTTTCTGTTTTTTTTTTTTTTTTTTTTTTTTTTTTTTGAGACAGTTCAAGGCAAAATAGGCCTTGAAATTTAATCTTCCTGCCTCAATCTCTGAGTCTCTGAGATCACAGACATGCACCACCATTATTTCTTGCCTGGATTATTGCAATAGCTTACTAATGGATGGTTCTGTGCCTATAATGTCTTCCCACCCCAGTCTGTTTTCAGTGTATCAATGGATGTCACTCACCCAATCATTACCACATTCTATAAACCCCTATACTGTCTGGCCCCCTTTTATACCTCTGATCTCATGTTAGAACCTCTGCACTTGACATTTCTTCTACTTGGAATGCCTTTTACTCTCACATAGCCATTTCCTCACTTCTAGAATTTTCTCAATAAGACCTTTCCTGATCACTCTTAAATTTTATGCACATACCCATTTAAAATTTTATGTGTACACACACATATTTGCACCTGCACACATACATGTACTTGAATTCCATGTTGCTTCTCTACTTATGTTTTTTTTTTCCTAGCTTTTATCTACCTCTAGCACACTATATATTTTACTTATTTATTAATTTTGACTCCCCTCACCACATACCAACACACTTATACTAGAATTTAAGCTCCCACATGGGCAGGAATTTGTGTTTCTTATTCACTGCCATGTCCTTGGTACTTAAAGCAGTACTAGCACATAGTGTGCAGTAAATATTTTTTAAAGGAAAAAATGGTACATCATTTTGTCAAAACAGTTTTTATCAAAGCATTTAAGAACATTATACTCTAATTCAGTAATTACCATTTGAATAAGCTTATAATTAATTGGAAAGTGGGCAGTAAGTCATACCTACATTTCATCATAGCATCAAAATTTTTCTTTAAAACATTTTCAAGTATCAAGCCTATTTCAAGTGACACATGCCTATAATCCTAGTTACTCAAGAGGCTGAGACAGGAATATTGCAAGTTCAAGGCCAGCATATGCAATTTAGTGAGGACCTGTCTCAAAATGAAATTTTATAAAGGGCTAGAGAGGCTGGGCTTGGTGGCACACACCTGTAATCCCAACAACTGGGTAAGCTGAGTCAGGAGAATCACAAGTTTGAAGCCAGCCTCAGAAACTTAGCGAGGCCCTAAACAACTTATTAAGACCCTGTCTCAAAATTTTAAAAAAATAGGGACTGGGGTTGTGGCTCAGTGGTAGAGCGCTTGTGCTGCACATGTGAGGCACTGGGTTTGGTTCTCAGCACCACGTAAAATAAATAAGTAAAACAAAGGTATTATGTCCATGTTCAGCTAAAAAAAATTAAAAACGGGACAGGCATGGTGGCACACACTTGTAATCCCAGCAGCTCAGGAGGTTGAGGCAGGAGGATCTCGAGTTCAAAGCCAGCCCCAGCAAAAGTGAGGCACTAAGCAACTCAGACCCTGTCTCTAAATAAAATACTAAATAGGGCTGGGGATGTGGCACAGTGGTTAAGTGACCCTGAGTTCAATCCCTAGTACCAAAAAACATAAAATAAAAATAAAAAAGGTCTGGGGATGTGGCTCAATGGTTAAATGCCCTTGTGTTCATTCCTTGGCACCAAAAAATTAAAAGAGAGCTGGGGATGTAGCTTAGAGGTAGAGCACTTACCTATCATGTGTGAAACCCCATATTCCATCCCCAGTACTGAAAAAATTAGGTAAATAAGATTTTGCTAACATTGCTGGGGTTTGTTGTTGAGATAGATATATATATATATATATATATTATGTGTGTGTGTGTGTGTGTGTGTGTGTATAGTGTATTTTAAAGCAAAATGCCATAATTCATGTTATTTCAACCCCACATTCTTTGGTATATATATATCACTAAAGAACTTGAGCATTTTCTTACACAAGCACACTGCCATAATCACTAACAGACAATGCTAATCTCTTGGTATAATCTAACATCTAGTCCATTTTCAGGTTTTACTGATTATCTCAAAAGGGCATTTTTGTGATTAATTCGAATCAGGATCCAAAGATGGTCCACACATTGTAACATTTCTTTTAATAACAAAAAGTTGGAAACGGGGCTGGGGCTGTAGCTCAATGGTAGAGCGCTTGCCTTGCATGAGTGAGGCACTGGGTTCGATCCTCAACACCACATAAAAATAAATAAAGATATTTTGTAAAAAGTTGGAAGCAGATAAAACATCTCATGAAAGAGAACTAGCTGATTATGGCAGTATCATCAGACAATTGTTATTTATGTAGTAGGATTAAAAATGGTATGTTTTTATGTCTTTATATTTTTCCAATCTTTTCCAGGTCCTTTGTACTGAGAATAAGTGGAGAAAAAACTATTTTAAATATAGTTTATCTCAGTGATTTATTGAATTCCATATCTCATCCCCACCTAACTTTTTTCTAAATGATTCATCTTTTCCTAAAAAAAAAAAAAAAAAAAAAAAAATCTATGGCATTTGCGATTGAACTCAGGGAAAATCTACCACTGAGTTACATCCTTAGCCCTTTTAAAATTGTGAGACATGGACTTGATAAATTGCTGAAGCTGCTCTCAAACTTACAATCCTCCTTCCTCAGCCTCCCAAGTACCTGGGATTACAGGGTTGAATTACTACGTCCTGTTTAGTGATCCATCTTGACATTAGTAACCATTCTTTATCTTGCCTTTTCTAGGTTCGAGCTCATCAACTGGTTCTTCCACCCTGTGATGTGGTGATCAAGGCTGTTTCTGAGTATGTTAGTTCTATCAAAGACCCTTCAAACCTGGATGTGGTTGGGAAGGATGTTTTCAAACAATCTCAGGTGAGCTAGCCTTCTCTTTCCTAAGAATTGACAGTTGTCTTACCTTCTCCAGCAACACCAGCAAGTCTCCTGTTGTCTTCAATGACATATAACTTCTCTTTGCTTGTCTCCTCCGATCTTATAGATTAAAGCCCCCAAATTTTATTTCCTTTAAAATATTATTAGGCTTGGATTGAAAGGTTTTCTTTTAACTGATGATTAAAGTAAAATAATCCCTCTAGAAAATACAATACATAAGGGAAAAAATTAACTTAAAATACCATTACCAGTTTCTAGGTAATGATATTTTAAGTGAATTGTTTAAATTAATCTGACATATCTCCTTCTAATCAATTTTTTCCAGTACGGAGGATCAAACCTAGGGCCTCATATGCTAGGCAAATTCTCTACCACAGACCTACATCCCCAGCCACTTTTTTAAGCCAATATTTGCTTCCGTTTTATTTATTTATATATGACAGTGGAATGCATTACAATTCTTATTACACATATAGAGCACAATTTTTCATATCTATGGTTGTATACAAAGTATATTCACACCAATTCGTGTCTTCATACATGTACTTTGGATAATAATGATCATCACGTTCCACCATCATTTCTAACCCCATGCCCCATGCCCCATCCCTTCCCCTCCAACCCCTCTGCCCTATCTAGAGTTTGTCTATTCCTCCCATGGAACCACCATTTGAACCAGCTATCCCTCTCCTCGTTCTATACCCAAAGGACTTAAAAACAGCATACTACAGGGACACAGCCACATCAATTTTTATAGCAGTACAATTCACAATAGCTAAACTGTGGAACCAACCTAAATGGCCTTCAGTAGATGAATGGGTTAAAAAATGTGGCATATATACACAATGGAATATTACTCAGCAATAAAAGAGAATAAAACAATGGCATTTGCAGGTAAATGGATGGAGTTAGAGAAGATAATGCTAAGTGAAGTTACCCAGCCATGTTTTAAGAGAGAGAGGGAGGGAGGGGGAGAGGGAGAGGGAGAGGGAGGGAGAGAGAGAATTTTTTTTAATATTTATTTTTCAGTTTTCGGTGGATACAACATCTTTATTTTATGTGGTGCTGAGGATTGAACCCAGCACCCCACGCATGCCAGGCAAGCGCATTACCACTTGAACCACATCCCCAGCCCAACCCAGCCATTTTTGATGTATATTTTAACATAAAGGAGGTCTTACTTAGTGGAGGATTAAATGGGTAATGAAAAAGACACTTAAAATGAGTGCACTAAATCATGAATCAAAATTTCATGGTCATTTATGGGAGAAAGGACTCAATTGGGATTTTTTTTTTTTTTTTTTTTTTTTGGTACTGGGGAATTGAACTCAGGGATACTTAACCACTGAGCCACATCTGCAGCCCTGTTTTGTAATTGATTTAGAGATAGGGACTCACTGAGTTGCTCAGCACCTCGTTTTTGCTGAGGCTGGCTTTGAACTCAAGATCCTCCTGCCTCAGCTGCCTGAGTCGCTGGGATTCCAGGTGTGTGCCATTGTGTCAGGCTTCAAGTGGAATTTTATCCTAACAAAATTAAACTAAAAATTATGAAAATATGTTGGTTTTATTTTTAGCAAATTGATTATCTTTTTGTAAGAACACTCAAGCCTATCGCAAACCCCTGCACCATCAGTTATTCTCTGTCACTGAAGTTTTGTATTCTGGAAATGTCATATGAATGGAATCAGTCATACAGTAGATAATCTTTTGAGATTTCTTTTATTCAATATAAAATTCATTCAATATAATGCTGAGTTGTTGCATGTTACACATGTAAATAATTTGTTCCTTTTTATTGTTGAATAATATTTGTTGTATGGATATACCACAGGTTTTTTTATTCATTCACCCCTAAAGGTTATTTAGGTTATTGTTTTGTTTTTTTGGGGGGTGGGGGGGGCTGGAGATTGAACCCAGGGACTTGTGCATGCTAGGCAAGTACTCTACCAACTGAGCTATATCCCCAGCCCCTATTTAGGTTGATTATAATTTTGGTGATTATGAATACAAAAGCTATAAATACTTGTATACAGGTTTTTGTGTGGACATTAGTACATATCTGGGAGTGGAATTTTTGTGTCATGTGGTAAGCATATGTTTAAATTTGTAAAGACCTTGCTAAACCAGTTACTATTACTTTTTTACCAGTGCTTGATCAGTAATTTTTAAAATGCATTTATTTTTTTTTTCTTGATACCAAGGAGTGCACTCAGGAGTGTTTAACCACTGGGCTACCGCCCCAGCCCTTTTTTTATTTTTTATTTTTTTATTTTTGAGACAGGGTCTTGCTTAGTTAGGGCCTTGTTAAGTTGCTGTGGCTCACTTTGAATTTGTGATCCTCCTGCCTAAGCCCCTGAGTTATAGGTGTATGCCACCACACCTCTCTTATTTACTTATTATTATTTTGGTACTTGGGATTGAACACAGGTATGTTTAACCACTTAGCCACATCCCTAGTCCTTTTTATTTTTATCTTGATATAAGGTGTAAATTGTTTAGATCTTGCTGAGTAATTGAGGCTGACTTTTCAAGTCACTGTAATTACAGGTGTGTGCCACCATACCCAGTCAGTGAATTATTTTTTTTTTATTATTTGCATTTCTTAATCTTTATTTTATTTCTTTTCATGTGGTGTTGAGGATCAAACCCAGTGCCTCACATGTGCTAGGCAAGTACTTTACTACTGATCCGCAGCCACAGCCCATTTAACTTATTTAACTTATTTTTATTTTAATCTTACCAAAAAAGAATTCAGGGCCTCAAACATGCTGGGCACTGAGCCACAAACATTTTACCACTGAGCCACACTTCTACCCCTCATTACAGTTTTAATTTCCTATTCCCAAATACTAATGATAAAAATGTTTTTTTCTGATTTATTTGCCTGTATCTTCTTTGGTGAATGGTCTGTTGAAAAATAGTCTTTTGCCCATTTTTGAAATTTTTTTTTAGTTGTCAAAGGATCTTTATTTTATTTATTTATATGTGGTTCTGAGTATTGAACCCACTGCCTCTTACATGCTAGGCAAGCACTTACCACTGAGCCACAACCCCAGCCCTCTTTTGCCCATTTTTAAAGTTCATTTGTTTGCTAAATGTTGAGCTTTGAGAATTCCTTATATATTCTGCATCTGAGTTCTTTGTCATGTATCTGGTTTACAAGTATTTTCTTCCAGGTTGTTTTTTAATTATTTCATTAGCATCTTTTATAGAATAAAATTTTTAATTTCCATCAGTTTTTATCATTAATGGATCATGCTTTTGGTATCTTGTCTAAGAAGAACTCATTGCCTAATTGCATGCATGATAATTTTCTCTTTTTGAAGTTAAATAGTTATGCATTTTACATTTAGAACAAATCATCAACTTATACTTCATTTCTTTATAATATGTTAGGAGATTTTGTTCGTTTTCTCGTTTTGTTTTTGCATAGGGATACCTAGCTGTTTCCACACAGCTTGTTTAAAAGACCATCTTTTCTCTGTTGAATTGCCTTTGCAGTTTTGTCAAAAATCATTTGGTTAAATTGCATGGGTCTATTTCTGGATTCTCTTATGTTCAGTTGATCTATGTGTCTGTCCTTTTCCAGTAGTTGTAGATGGGCACAATACCTTTATTTTTATTTTTATGTGGTGCTGAGGATCAAACCCAGTGCCTTCCACATACGAGATGAGCACTCTACCACTTAACTACAACTCCACCTAAGTTTTAGAATAGTTTTATTTATTTATAACTATAGGGAAAAAAACCTTGTGGGATTTTGATTTGAACTGTGTTAAATATATAGATGGCTTTGGTTAGTCTTTGAATTCATGAATATGATATGCCTCTATTATTTGGTCATGTTTATTTTCTTTCATCAACTGCATGTTTTAGAGTTTTTAGCATGTCCTGCACATGGTTTTTAGTATTTATACTTATTTCCTATTTGTGGCATGTATTGTCATGAATGTTATTTTGTTCCATTTTTAATTGTTCAATGATGATATAAAGGAATGATTTAGTTTTGTTTATTGACCTTATAAATTGTGACCTTTGTAAACTCTCTTATTCTGGAAGTTTTTTTGACAGACTTCTTGGGATTTTCTGTGTAGTTGTTCATGTTGACTATGAACACAAACAGTTTTATTTATTTATTTTTCATCCTACATGCCTTTATTTATGTTCACTTACTGTATTATTTAAGATTTCCAAATGATGCTGAATAGAAATGTTGCAAGTAGATATCCTTTTCTTGTTCCTGATCTTTAGAGAAAGCAGTCAATAGTCATTGAATGTGACATTAGTTTTAGGTTTTATAGATGCATGTTTTCAGGTTAAGGAAGTTGTCTTCTATTCTTGGTTTGCAGAATGTATAGTGTATTTTTCCAAATGCAATTTATCTATTCAATGATAAAATCATATTGTTTTCTTCCTTAGTCCATTAATATTTTGGATTGATTATTGAATATTGAGCAAACTTGGTCCTGATATATTATTCTCCCACCCCACTCACCCCCTTTTTTTTGTATAGCTGGATTTGAATTTGGTATTTTGTTGAGTTTTTTTTTTTTAATTTTATTTTTTAGTAGTTGGACACAATACCTTTATTTTATTTATTTATTTTTATGTGGTGCTGAGGATCGAACCCAGGGCCTCGCATTTGCGAGGCGAGTGCTCTACCACTCAGCCCCTTATTGAGTATTTTTAAATTTTGTTTATTTTGAAAGAGTTTTGGTCTGTAGTTTTGTTTTTAATATTTGTTATTTAGTTATAGGTGGACACAATACCTTTATTTTATTTTTATATGGTGCTGAGGATCTAACCCAGTGCCTCACGCATCCTAGGTGAGCATTCTACCACTGAGCCACAACCCCAGCCCTGGTCTGTAATTTTTTGTTTGTTTGGTTTTTGTTTTATTTTTGTGCTGTGTTGGTCTGGTTTTGTTATCAGGGTAGTGTTGGAGTCAGGAGTTTACAAGTACTCCTCTTCTGTTTTTAAAG